AATTAGATGTTATAACTAGTTGGTTTTTTTTCATTATGTTCAAGGTATTTTCACTGAACAAGGTCAATTGGTTACCTCAGTATTAAAGCCAATATAGTCCAAGGGACCATTTCTCCCCAAGTCTATGTTATACTGTATTGTGTGACTCCTGCATTTTTGTGATTCTTAAAACTGTTGGTGAGATGGGATGAGTGCACCTGCTTCCTGTGGCAATAAAGATTCTCTGTGCCTCACAAATGTATGCTTCTAGCACTTTCTACAGAGCACTTTCCACAGTGAGTGGTATTAGTCTACTCTGCCTTCATTATTGGATTATTTGGGACTGGCTTGGCTGTCAAGAGACAGAAGGTTATATATATTTTTTCCTCTTCGTGATACTGAGGATTGAACATACATGTTTGTAAATATGATAAGATTTGGCCTAGTGTTGGAGGTTTTTATATGAAATAGAGCTAACCTGTAGTGAAGAGCTGGCAGGAGCCTTACAACAAAGTTTTAATGGGTGAGTTTTGTAGGATCATCTTTAATAAAAAGCTTCAGTATGGCAAGCCCTGTACCAGATGCCAGATAAGGAGGAAAATCACAAAAGAAATACAAGGTATGATCCTTGCTCCTTGTGAAGTCAAAACCTAGTTGGATGAACACTAAGGCCAGTCATAAAACTCAAATTGTAGTGTTACAAAGTTGGGATGAATAGGGAGCTGACATCTAAGCACATTCTATTTGGGCAGTAATAGTACTTAGCCCAGAAACTGCTTTTGTTGTTGTTAAAAAAAACAAAAAACAAAACAAAAAAAAAAACTTTCTTCATTGTCCTTAGGAAATGAAAACACTTGACTGAAAGCTTTAAGATGGATGATGATTTTGAGGCCTGCAGCAGCCACTGTATCTTTACAGTTACAGTATTAGGTCTTAAAACCTAAAAAAGAAGGTGGGGAATTTCCTAGTATATGGTCCGCTCATTTCCTCTTGAAATGGTTATTGCTAGCACAGCACCCAATTTATTACCTCTCTTAGGCTGCTCTGAGTCTTCCTAAGAAAATCAACCAGGTTGTCAACTCAGTGAAAGCAGGAGCCTGTGTCCTTGTTGTCCAGAAAATGAATGACCCTAGTAAGTAGCAGAAGTTGGAATTAAGCAAACATTGTGTTTTAACAGCTTAAAGGATGTGTTGACATATGACATTTGATACTTAGCTAAAACCTACCTTACCATCCAGCAGTGTATGAGCATTGTTTCAGAGAATCCAAGCCTATTTATTTGCTGTTATCTGTGTGTGTCCCCATAAATGAGATTCATTAGTGGGCCTCGAAGTTAACAAAAGATAATTCAGCATCCTGACATTGTCATCGAAAATACAAATTAATCTCAAATACCTTGGTGCTACCTATTTCCTTAATGACCCTGTGAGACAAATTTTATTTTGTGCCAAAGTGATCAAAAGCTAAACGCTGGTGCTAGAATTTTTCTTTATGACTAGGCAATGTTTATTACACCTTTAAAACTCCCTTGGCTTCTGGTTCTACTGACTTAGGAAAAAAGAGTTTGATGTCATTTTTCTTTCTTGTACAGAATATTCTAATCAGAAATTTAAGTTTGTAATAAATTTTTTGAAGTTAGAATCCAAACCTGTGTGTAGTTTTAAATTCAACTTACAAATTTTTCTTTCTATAAGTTTAGCAAGTTTTTACAATCATTTTTAAAGAACTATGAATAATAACTGATTCCATCACAGATTTAGTTCATTAAACTCCCTTTATATTTTCCCCATCTCTTAGGGGCATGTAATTCTTAAGCATTACAACAATATCCTTTTGAATTCTGGGTCTGTTGGCTCTTTGGTCACAGTTTCCAAGATTGCTCTTCTGACAGCTGAGTGGCTTCCTTCCAAAGTCTCGCTGTTACAACATTAAAGGTCTAGTTTCTACCAGTTCATCTTCAACCAAAGGAAAATTTTAACATTTTTGCAGCAGTTGTATAAAACCTTCAAAAATAAACATCATAAATGGATCACAAAATACTAATCTTGGGGTTTTTTCTCAGCATCCATTTGAGATGATAGTTACCATTATTTTTCTGGGTGTTTTCCCCCTTTTTCCTTTTAAAATGTTTAATTGAGCCAGGGAGATGCATGCTTACAATTCCAGTACTTGAGAGGCTGTGACTAGAAGATCACTGTGAGTTTGAGTTTGGGTTACACAGGGAAACTTTCTCAAAAGGAAAAAAATTACCTGGTTAAAAAAAAAATGGTTGTATTCAAGTATCTGACATCATTGTTTAATCTTTAAATGTAATTACTATTATGTGTGTGTGTGTGCACATGTACCACGGCGTGCATGTGGAGGTCAGAGGACAACTTTGAGTCATTTCTCTCTTTGCACCTTTACATGGGATTGTATTTGGGGTCACTAGGCTTGTGTAGCAAGCACTTTTACCCACTGAGCCATTTCACCAGCCCTGATGGTTAATTTCTGTATACAGTATATACTGATGACCACAGACAAATTATGACTAAGTCCTTAGTGATAAATTTCCTCTTAATTTTGCTTGACTTACCATTCTTTAATCAATTTGCTTACCTTTGCTAAACTTTTAGTAAGACATTTTTAAAATAGTTCTTCTAGGGGCTATAGAGATGGCTCAGCAGTTACACAGTTAAGAGCACTGACTGCTCTTACAGAGGACCTGGGGTTAATTCCCAGCACCCTCATGCTAGTTAACAACTGTCATAACTCCAGTTCCAGGGGATCCAACACCCTCTTCTGACCTCTGCAGGCATTGCATGACATGAGTGCACTTATGTACATGCAGACAATACACTCATACACATAAAAATAGTAAATACTCAGTGGTTAAGAGCACTGACTGCTCTTACAGAGGACCTGGGTTCGATTCCCAGCACCCACATGATAGCTAACAACCATCCATAACTTCAGTTCCAGGAGATCCAATGCCCTCTTCTGGCCTCATAGGCATTGCACACATGGTGCACTTACATACATACAGCACTCATGCACATAAAATAAAAATAAATTGAAAATATTTCTTCTACTCAGATCCATAGAACATATTTTTACATTGATATAAATTGAAAAAAAAAGTACAATTTAAGTTTCAGAATTTTTCATGTTTTTTTAAACAGTACAGGGGGTTTGAATGCAGGGTCTTTTGTCACTGAGCTAGATCCTCAGCCCCTATTTTCTTTACATTTTATAATTCCATTTAAGTATTTTATTGTGCCTTCTTCAAAATGTAGATTACATAGATAATGTTGGTTCGAGATGATAGTGCTACACAAACATTAAAACAAGCACAGGCGTTTTCTCCATCGACTTATTAAAGTGAACTGTCAAATTTTGAGTTTCCTGGTCGTTGAAACAATTTGGTAATCAACCCCAGAGAGTCTTGCTGTGGGTGAGAGCCCTATGACGTTATAAATTAGACTATGCTTCATATTTACACATTCTGAAACTTTATGAGTCATCTTTGTATTAAAAGTTTGCACCTCATAAATTTGTTTAAAGTGGCGTGTTCAGCACCCACACAATCCTAGGCAAGCAAGGCCATTTTCTTATAACTGTCACAAGCACCCTCCTTGACAGGTCACTTAGATTTGAGCACGAGCACGTAGGAAGATGCTTAAGTGGTGCATATGTAGGTGGAGTCCTACCAGTAACTGGCTTAGCAGAGGCATTGGTAATTTTCTGAGGCTAACTACTGTCGTCAACTGTCAACTGTCAAACCAAACATCTGTGGTCTAGCACCGTACCTGCTCTTGTCCTTCCCAGAGAAGGGGATTTCTTTGTTAAAATGTCCTGTTTAAAAATATTTTTTATTCTTTGAGATTGTATTTCAATCATATTTATCCCCTCCAACTTTGTGTCCTTTTTTCCTTTTTTTTTTTTTTTTAAATAACCCATCAAATCCAATTTGTGCTGCCATACTCCTGGGTGTGGGACCATCCACTGGAGCATGGTCAGTTTTCCAGGAGCCACACCCCTAAAAAACACTGGCTCTCTCTCCCCCAGAAGCCATCAGCTGTCCATAGCTCCTCAGGGTGAGGGCTCATGAACATCCTCCCCATCCATGCTGGTGTGTTGACTGGCTTGATTTTGTGCAGGTATTATGCAGTTAACCACAGCTGCTATGAGTTCTTGAGAACAGAAGTTCCATTTTGTCCAGAAGACAGTTTCACTCTGGCCCTCCCTGACCTCTGGCTTTTATGGTGCACCTCTCTTTCCAGGGGAGGAGGCTGTGGTAGATACTCCATTTGTGGGTGAACACTCCACAGTCTGCACTCTGCCCGGTTGTGAGTCTCTGCATTAACCACTGTCCACTGCACAAAGTAGCTTCTCTGATGAGATCTGAGTGCTGCACTAATCTATGAGTAGAGAGAGAGAAATTTAGAGGGCTGTTTGATAATGTTCATTAAACAGAATAAACTAGGTTTATCCCTGGGACCTGGGAGCTTACCAACCATGCATTCTTCACCAGATACAGTTTCAGGCATGCCTTTTCTCCTATAGAGTGGGCCTTAAATAGGAAAGATGTTGGTTCCCCCTTAAGATTCATGCCATTATTGCACTTATGGGCATATCTTGCCATGCTGGTCATTATTGTAGTTCAGAGGGTTCACAGCTGGTTAAGACTGCTGATGACTTTTACCCCTAGCTGTCTACATAGCACCTTCTGGTACTATGAAAGATAGCTTTCAGAGAGGAAGTTTCCTGGTCAGTACCAACTTGATTCCTCATGTCCTCTGACCAGTGTGTTGTGTTGTCAGCAGTAGGGTCTTACCATTACGTTCTGGTGGGCAACCAAGAGCAATGACAGGAGCCTGCATTGTTTTGGGAGGCTCTGTGATACCTCTGACTGACAACTTGAAGGGCAGTATCCTACACCTGGTACTGGAGGAACGTTATTCCCTGTGTAGGGTAACTCCAATTAAACTAGTCTGTATGATGGATAGATAGATGATAGATAGATAGATTGATAGATAGATAGATAGATGATAGGTAGATTGATAGATGATAGATAGGCAGATAGGTAGATAGATAGAGATGATAGATGATAGATAGATAGATAGATAGATAGATAGATAGATAGATAGATAGATAGATAGACAGACAGACAGACAGGTAGATGTCTTCTGTTTGGCTATTTCAAATATCCTTAGTGTAAGTTAACCCCCTCTCCCACACCATCCTCTGTTCTACTCTTCTGTCCCTCTCCCCACTTA